AGTAATGACAATGATTGGGACAAATATACCTGCAGTGTAGGGTTGACATGTTGGTGTTTCAATGGTCATGCAACCCTACAGGGGCTTGTTTGAATTCATTTCATAGGTTCAAATCCAACAGAGGCTCAACCCTACACTAAATAATTTTTTTAATTTTTTTGTTCTAGTATCATTTCTATTTAAAATGTATAGCCTGTCCTCATTTATCAACAGTTACTCTGTTGATCCCTGAGGTGCTCTGCATGATAGCTTGTTTTGGCTGGGTCGTTAAAGTTTTATACCTTTTTAGAATATATTTTGAATCAAAACAAAAACAATGCTTGACTATAATCAAACTACAAAGCAACTTAATAACAAAATAAAAACTTGCAACTGTTGCAAACATTAATTGTTCTACTGAACATAAATCTCATAATAGCTAACAGGAGTGTCTTCATTATAAGTTTCCTCATCTCCACACACCCTCAACTCAATATAGTCAGTAGTGGTAGTGTTACCATAGTCTCTGTGAAACCATGGGATACCAGGAACATTACAACAAGGTGATTCAGCAGAACCACAACTTTGACCATCCCAGAGTGGATCAGATGTATACAATTGCTCTGTCCATATAGGAATAACCCCTGATTCACAGAAATAATGATCACCAATGAATGATTGAACTTGTTGTGTAGAGGAGGTAGCACAAGGACAGATATTATTAGGGATGCTGTTTGTTTCACCAACGCCAGCTATTAGTGTCCAAACATGTTGACGAGGAGACCCACGAGTGATACTAACACCATCAACATAATCACCATTCAAATTATTGTGATTAGAACCAAAATTATGGTCAACTGCATCAGGAGATCCATATTGATATCCAGTTACTCTACCACACACCTGAGAATAATTGATACCATTAGATGGGAACTGAACTGATGTACAACTGCCTCCACTTGATGTTGCTCTACCACAAGCTCTAACTCCTCCTGACTGGTACAGTCTAAACCCAGAAGGACAGTTCACTGTAGAGTCACTCATATCCAGATATGCTAGTCTTGTCCATCCTCCTCTTGAACCACACAACTCCTCCATATTACAGTAAGCAGAATATGAACTGGTGCCATTAGCAGTGACCAATAGATCATACACACCAGATGGACTGCTAGGTTGTCCCTGTTGGATCTCCTTACAAGAGGTAGGTAGTGCAATAGAAACATTGTGTAGTACTAATAGTTGTTGTGCTATTAGTAGTATATCATCAACCACTCCAGCAGTAGAGGTACTGGTGTCTTGTATATTAGAGAGAGTGTTAACAATGTTAGTAAGAGAATCACTATTAGATGCAGCAAATGCTTTCAATAAATCTGTGTTGTTGTTCAACGAGGTTTCAATCAGAGAAAGAGCTTTTGTGTGGTTCCAAGCAAGTGCATTATTGACGTGAGTAACATTAGTAATACGAGAAAGGAGTTCATTGGTATCATAGTGTGTACTATTGATATTCCTGCTAATTTCTTGAACAGTTTCAACTAGAAGGGCCAATTGTTCAATGCTGCCCTGCACTAAAGCTTGGGTGCTGTTAGTTGTTCCATTGGCAATATTACCAATGCTCTTATGAATTTCTTGAGCAAAGTAAATGAGTGAGTGATTAAACAACTGGTACAATCGATTGTCAGTAGCAGTCAGACCAGCAGCAGTAGTGCTACATTCAGCAGGAGATGATTGTGATATTATAAAGCCACACATAAATACTATAACAACAAGCAACACCAATATAACGACTAGCACTATTGACATTATACGAAGCACCCATTTGTCTTCAGTGTATTTCTTGCTGTGTTGAGGTTGTGCTTGACACTGTAGCTCTGGCTCTTGACTGGAAGGTAGTGCCTTCATTTCGTACATCACTTCATCAGCTGTGGAATATTGATTTTCTTCAATGTGGCTCTCCATTGTTACTTCTGTTATAATAATACAACTGGAAGAAAAGTAATCTATATATAGCCTACTACATATTCATTAAATCAGGTGACTTCCTTTGTATTCGTTAATAACTTCACACATCTATACGAATCACATACACTTATCTTAGGCACAGATGTAGCAACAGTATAAGCATATGTAACAAAAATTATTAGACTTTACTAGTTACTACACAGCAATTACAGAAGACTTCATGTTCATAAAGTAAATAGAAAGCTTTGATGTAATTGGTCAGGCTCTGACTCCTGTAAAAGTAAAATGCTAAAAATATTAAAATAGTTTTAGAACACAAATTATATCAAAGATTATATCTAAAATTCATCAGCTGAATTTCCTTTTAATATAAAACTATATATTATATACTTATAGTACTATATACTTACTTCATTGGTTATCAGTAATTCTAATATTGCTTGATACATTTGATACTACAAACAATATCTGTAGGGGTATATGTGTATAGCATTCTTAACTAATGTAGAGAATACTGCTCTATAAATTAAGGCAGCGCTAGGAATGCTATGAGTAGACAAGCATGAGTAGGTTTATTGTAACTGGATGTGTAATGAATAACAATCATAAGCAGTAGTACACCAATTAGCATTTTACTACTATAATTATACCGTATATACCGGTTTATTTTTGTGGTAAAATATTTTTGCAAATTTCACTGTTTGATCATTCACGAAAATTTTTCACCGCAAAATTCTGCTCTCCATTGCCACGTGGTGCAGTCTGCAAGCAATTCACAAAAATTTATCCCACAAAATCTTAGAAATGCAAGATTCGTGAAAATTTTTCACCTTGAAAATAAACCAATATTTGGTAATAGAGGTTTGTTAATCAGTGTGTATAACAAATGTCAATATAAGAATTGGAACAGACTAAATTATGATGTCAATTGCAGCACAGGAATCAAAAAAGTAATATACTTACTGTCAAGAGTACTCTTGTTACTGTATATAGAAGCATAGAAGTTGTACAATAGTTTAATGGACTTACAACCTACTCCCTACATATAAATACAGAGACAGTGTAGTTTATGTCGGAGCAACAGTTTATCAAATGTATAATAAAACTTGTCTTGCTGAAGGGTGTATTTAAATGTACTTAAGAGATTGGCTGATTTCATTTTCTGTTGTGTATATTTGGTTCCGAAATTTCCAAAATGAAGTGCGACATAAAACTCTTGCGATTACAGTTGCTGAACAAAAAAATGCATAATTTTCTCTAATTATTAGTTCAATTGAGTTCATTGGGAAAAGAAGCAAGGAACGCACAATTATTGTAAATAATTCAACATTACATTAAATATGACTGTTCCATAACAGAAAAAAGCTATAACTACTAACTAAAGCTAAGAAAAAGGTTTAAAATAAAAACTGTTCTACTGGACATAAATCTCATAATAGCTAACAGGAGCATTTTTATTAGCGGTTCCCTTATCTCCACACACCCACAACTCAATATAGTCAGTAGTGGTAGTGTTACCATAGTCTCTGTGAAACCATGGGATACCAGTAACATTACAACAAGGTGATTCAGCAGAACTACAACCTTGACCATCCCAGAGTGGATCAGATGTGTACAATTGCTTTAGCTGTTTTACATTAGTAGCAACTGCTGATTCACAGAAATAATGATCACCAACAAATGATTGAACTTGTTGCAAAGAACCAGTAGCACCAGGACAAATCTCATAAAGGTCGCTATTTCTGGAAGATCTCATACCTGCAATAAAGAGCATACCTATTGCCACTCTCATCAAAGGCAGGCTCGCTGTCCTAGCCACCCACAATATAGAAGAAAGACTTAGTAGTACATAAATGCTGCTTAGTAAATGCTATAAGGCATAAACTTTTTATTGCTCATTACATTAGTAATGGATATACTGTAATAGATGGTATATGTAACAAGCTGCTATTATTTAGTACTATGCTGCAATTTTTATACTTACTATGCTGCAATACTCTATATATACTATATTATGTATTACATTATTATATTTTTATAATCATTTTTAATAAAAACAATGTTTACAGTTAGTCGATGGGAGGGAGGATAAGAGGAGGAGGTGTGTGGTGGAGAGAAGGAGGTAACAATCACTCTACAGAGCTCTTAGCTCAATCATAACAGAGCAACCAATACCAATGAATAATGTATACAACAATACAGAGACTGATACTAGTGTATTACATGCTGTATGTACATGTACGTGCATGTATGCATGTTCTCTCACCTGCTTATCGTGGGAATGAGCTGACGTGTACATAGTCCCCAGCTATCACTTGACGTCAGGTTTACTTCATTAAGTGAAATTTATGGCAAGCGTACAACAGTTGCTAGCTATTATTGACCTGCAAAGTATAAAGATAAGTGAGATAGAGAGAGTAGAATACGGTAGGATTAGTAATACTATTCGTTTGATAATACTGTTTCAATATGGGACTCAGTGAATCTAAGCCGGTAGGCCAAAATAATAATATTATAATATTAGTATTGGTAATTGATATTTAGGAAACTTGTCAAGTTGAGGCATGTGAAACAAAGTTTTTCAAATATGGTATCTGGTACAAATGTTGGAAGAGGCATCACTTTTGCGATCTCCACCAAAAGCAAAAGACCTGCCCAATAGATGCTGATGAGCGTAGACCATGTGAAGTTAAATCATGCAATAAAACTGACTGTGACTCTGGAGTATGGCACAAATGTGAAAACAAACATCATTTGTGTACCTCACACAAAAAGAAAGACAAATGCCCAATAGATGGACGGTACGGACGTAGACCGTGTGTTGCAACAGCCTGTACTAAAACTGATTGCAGTTATGGTATTTGGTACAAATGTGATGAGGAGCACTATTACTGTACCACTCATCAGAAGAAAAAGATATGCCCTATTGATGAAAAGCCTCACACTACATGTG